ATTTCAGTGGGACTTAAGATGTTTCAATCCTTTTCTGAGAAGCAGCAAAAGACATTACACTTCAGTTTTCCCACCTCTGCAGTGGAGTTAGTCAACCCGTGCATCCCGGGGCACTGCCACACCAACTTCCATCAAGTCTACAGAAGTCTTTGCTTCAGGAGATGCTGACTGTGTCTAGTCTCTGCTCCTCTAGAACTCATTTCGTTCATTTGCTATAACGAGTACATCCATGGGTAGTGTAGGGGTAAATATAGAAACTCTTTGAGTGCCAGGCTGTTACATCAACTGTGCACAGAGTAGAAACACATGCCAGACTAAAAAGTGGAGCTTGAGTCAAAAATGCTGTTTAGATGAACCACAAATCATTAAAAATGAGAAGGAAGACGTCAGCATTTAGGCTAGGGCTGATCTCATCTAATTCAACCTTTCAAGAAGTCAGGAAGTCTCACTAGTTGTCCAAGTCCCCACTGCAGCCAGAAAAGAGGTACTGTTTGATGGTATTTAGTCACTCAAAGCAGGTGGTATCACAAACCCATATGCATTTGTTGGACTCATGACCAGCTTCTGAGACAGCAAAAATACACCACTTTGCTGTGGTATCAGCACTATGAGGGTGCACATAACCAGAGCTGAGAAAACCCAGGTTTTTAAGAAGGCAGTAGAGAACCTCTAACAGAGACCATTTCCAGAAAAGTAGTTCTATCTATTAAAGCTATCACTACAATGAAAGCTCAGAGCATGCTGTCATCCCACAAAAATCTCTAACAGATCTCTGCTCATTTTGCGTCACAACAATCTAGAAAGATTGGGGAGGGTTTACATAATTATCTTCTAAGGAACTGCAATTAACAGGCCAGCAAGTACTGTGGAGGAACACAACAGGTGGGAAGCAGTACTAGAGATGAAGAAATGGCTTGAGCTTCTCCATAGCCTGAGCTGTGTAAGGGGAAGGTTACTACCCACTTCCACAAGTAAGATCCAAGCATCAGATCTTGATGACTTTCTATAAATGAAGTGGGGTGCTCTGTCTAGCACTCTATTCTCAGAAAATGAAAAACCATAAAATATTAGTTGTATAATTCTTATCTCATGTACTCTTAAAATCCTTCTTTTCATTCTTTATTTCTAGAACTCCATTTATATGTGGGTTTTATATTGTGAGACAATTCCCTGAAATTAAGCTAAAAACATGGAGGTGTTAGAGAGCAGTCATCACAAATTACTTAGCATGTCAACCTGACAGCGTACATTCTTGTTTGCAGTTGGTTTACAGTTAACAGGAATGGGTTATGTCTGACAAAAACGAGGTGTTTAGTGTAGACCTCTACCTCTGAGCTAGTCATACAAGGACCTCTGCACATTTTTAGAGCATGATTCATCCAACTTATTTCATATTTTTACTTTAGGGTAAAATGAATCATATTTCTCAATTGCCCATTTCTCTCCATTGACTAAGACTGCAGTGACTAGTTCTGACTGTAGATGACCATATCTCATCATATAGATTATATCTCTGGAGTCCAAGAGAATGAGAGGGATGCAAAAAAAAAAAAAGCAGTTCTGAACAGGAGACAGAAGGAAAAAGAAAATCCATGAATGGCAGGATCACACTACATGTCCCTCAGTGCAGGGATCTTAAATGGCAAGCTTATGACATTTATACCAACAGTCAATAAATACTCCAATGAAGATAGAAAATCAATGAGTTTGAACCCTACACCTGGGCTGGTGCCAAACTCAATCTCCATTGTGGCAGGAATCAATAAAGGAGAATTCTCTATTAAAAAAAAAAAATAAAAAAAATCAATTTTTTTAACCTCCAGAGAAGTCTTAAACAAGCTTTTTTATGTATGAATCATTAGTTTAGTTATACACTCATGAGAAATTTAGTCTGCTGGCTAAGAACTAGTGGGAAACCAGGGATGGAGTTGGAGTGGGACAGGAACTTCTACTTCAGGAGAGTTTTTATTGATTTACCAATTTGTACCTGCACTGCCTCCTGGAAAGGAAAGTAAATCAACTGAAACAAATTTGAAAGTGATTCACAAGGCTGTGGAACCAAATACATGTAAAATTTCACTTCATCAAATACTTCTAGCTGGCAAACACTCGCTATGCTTCTGGTTACCACTACATATGAACTAGAGTACTTAGCAATGAATGTTGTAACACAACTATAGTAATCCTCAAAACCGATTCTCTACAACACAAAGTAAAGATCAGCACTGTGGGAAGGAAAGCCCAGGCTCACCCCCATGGCACCTCTCTTACCAAACTGCAGCAGCACCAAGATTTGCACATATACCCTATGCAGAGAGATCTATATTGGACAATATGGAGGAGACTCCCAAACTAACCACAAACCACTGTTCAGACCTGAATGGAGAAGAGCCTTTTGTGGAACCCACACCAAAAGCCAGTTCACGCTCAGTGGAGTTAGATGCACCTATATACATCTATAGTGGAACAAGAACAAAGCCACCGTGCCAACAAGTGTACAGCAGCATGGTGTGGTGTGGATCCGCCATGCAAACCAGCTCTCCCTTGGGTATTGCTGGACCATTTCCCCTCCTCAGTATTGACAAGCCTCGAGGAGCACAGTCACATCTCACTAGGCACACGGGGTGACACCATTCAGATGGAATGTTGCAGAAGAATAAAAATAATGCACTGGAGTAGGACTTTGCTGAAAGCAGAAACTTGCTTGGAGTCCAGCCTGCTCACATCTCAGGATGAATTTGGCCCAGTTTATATCCTAATGATTATAATGGATACTGCAGTCTTCTTTTCATTACTGCAGCAGCCAAAAATATTGATTTGTTGTACTGCGTGCTCCTGCTTACCATCACAAATTTCAGGGCAGACAGTGCATAAGCCAATAGAGTTGGTCAGTTTAAAAGTGACAAATTAACTGCGCTGAAAGTAAATAAACATCTATCTCTTTGTAAATTAATTCAATACGTGACTTAAGCTCTCTTCTACAGCTGGAAAGCTGATTCATCATTTAGCAACATTTAAGTTGCCACCAGTTCAATAGAAGAGTATTAATGTTGTGTCCTATTTGACACAGCAGGTCAAATTCTATACACGGGTTACAACAGCAAAACTCAGAGCAACTCCAGAACCCCCAAGCCCTGCTCTCCACATCTCCCTGGCTGCAGCTATGCAACCAAGTTTTCTCCGAATTGGTGTTGAGAAGGCTTAAATTGTACTGAGCAGTTTGGGAAAACAGACAGAAGAACAATCCAAAAGTCTTCTGATCTGCTGGATTATCAAGTGTCTTCTGGAACAGTTTAGTGAAATAGCACAGGTTGGTTCATTTGCAACTTTTGAAGTTCAGGTGTTTTTCATGCAACAAAACAGATTTAAATTCTGGAAAGAAACTAAGTATGTTTAAAGTGGAATATTGAGTACAATTCCCGCTCATATCAAAACATGATTTGTGCTTTACTGAAGGGGAGTCCACACATTATAGCCTATTGCCCAATAGTAATCCAGGCATAGGATAAAAATCCTGGTTAATTTATTAATGAGCAACATGCACTTACTTACTCTCCCTACCAGTTCCTTTCAGTTCAATAAATACTTAACCCTGAGATTTCCAGAACAATAGAGCAGCATTTGGACCAATCTGCCATTGCTTTATAAAGAACCCATTTAGCTGAAGTTGATGATACTAAATAAGCAGGTAGGCCAAAATTTTCAAATTCAGGAGCTTACAATTGAAATTCATGTTCAACTGCCTAAGTAACGTTGCCCGAATGCCTTTAACTGCTATTAGCACTGTAGGAAATGTGAGTTCTTAACATTTTTGAAAAGAAGGCAGGTGCCCTCTTGACTTCTGACATTCGAGTTTAATGTTTCTGGACATAAGATTTTGACTGTATCATCTGTGCCCACCTGCAACAGAGAGACTATAGCACAAATAAAATAAAAATATTTTTCACTGCTTATGCTCAGATGCAATCCACAGCATTTGTAATGTCGTCTGTTTTTCATAATGTTCAGTTTAGAAAGTTGACATTTGATTAAACAGTTTGAATTTGCCAAAACATACATTTTAATCTTATGTTTTAATACCACATTCTCAATTAAAAGCTTTAGAAAAAGACATACAAAGTCTGCTTAAACCACAGTAAACCCACAGACCTAACATATTTAATATAATTTCTGAAACTGTTGACTATTTTCTAATTTCCTCACCACTTCTAGTATCACAGCTGCACCATTACTCCCAACAGCTCTCAGACATTTAAACAGCCAGTTTGTTAAGTGTTTTACTAGATAGCCTTTTATACTTAGTATTTTCAAATAGGGTGGCATGGTAGTGAAATTCAACTTCTTAAAAATCTTCACTCTATTAATACTGTTTTCTAACATCGATGTTCATAATACTACCACCACCACAGGAAAGCTAGCACTGCTGGTTTAGAATTAAGCATCTTTTCTGTGTTTCTACCTTTACACAAGCATGTCAACACTGATGAACACTGTGCTACAAGAAAGCATACTATACAGAATGGCATATCATTCCAGACTGCTAACTCCCATGAAAAATTACTCCAACAAGAACAAGATCACAAATAGGTTTTAAGATTAAATAATTCTTGTTTCATGCTCCTTATTTCCTTTCACTGGGTCTGACACTGCATTAGAGGTCATGAGTGTTGTGACTCTGTGGAGGTGACCTGAGTAATTTACAACGATCAACAGATAATACAGTCACTGGAAGCAAGTTATTCTGTAACTATCGCTGCTTTCTAAATGGAGCCATCACAGAGCCAATGAAAAGGAATGTGTATTATTTCACACCCACAGAGTGATGAATGTAACCAGGTAATTAAGTCATGTTATTGCTGTGACTGGAAAATCCCTATTTATAATTTTATCTTGTCTGTTAAGAACGGAACTTCTTGTTAAGGGTAGAAAATAATTATGCCTAAGCTTTGCTTTTGTAAAAACCTCTACAACAGGAAAAGGAAATTAGAAACAAAACTCACCGGTTTCTTCATCTATGCTGAATCTCCCCAGGCCACTGCCATCCCTAATGGAATACTGGATCTCTCCATCCCTTCCAGAGTCCTCATCTCGAGCAACAACTTGCAAAACACTTGTACCAATGCGTGAATTTTCCTTTACAGATCCAATGACAGCAAAGTCAGGAAAATAGGGGGTATAGAGATTTTCGTTAACATCCACCACTTCAACTTCCACAAAAGAAACAGAAGAGAGAGAAACTGGGCGCCCCTTGTCCTTTGCACGCACAGTCAGGTTGTAGAACTGCTGCTTCTCATAATCAAGCTCTTTGTTCAAGCGGATGGCGCCGCTCGCTTTGTCTATCTCAAACCGCCCGTTGTAATCATTCACCAACGAGTAACGGACTTGGCCTCCCAAGCTAAGATCCGGATCGTGAGTTTCCAACCAAGCTATGACAGTGCCAACTGGCAGGTCCTCTAAGACCTTCACATTGTAGCTGGATGGTATAAAAGCTGGAGAGCAATCATTGACATCATCCAAAAAAACCTTCAGAGGCACAACGGAAAACTGTTGATGGCCACTCTCTGCTTTGTCCCTAGCCTCTATTTTCAGTGTGAAGTTTGCTTTTGATTCCCGGTCTAGTTGATCAGCCACATACACCATTCCCGTGGAACTGTTGATAGCAAATTGCTGGGTGTCCGTCAGTACTGAGTAAGTCACTTCACCATTAGATCCTAGGTCTTTATCTCTGGCTTCTACCTGGATAATCTCTGTACCAAGACTTGTACTTTCTAAAATATTAACTGAGTAACCATCCTGTAAAAAAACAGGCTTGTTATCATTTGCATCCTCCACAGTGAGAGTCAACAGTCTCCATGCAGATTTCTGTGGATTTCCTAAATCATAAATTGTAATATTAAGGAGATAGAGCTCTGTTTTTTCACGGTCCAAGGGCATAAGAACATTAAGCACACCCGTCTCCATATCAATGTTGAAACAACTATCTACATTACCATCAGAAATTGTATAAAGCACTCTTCCATTAAAGCCTGAGTCTGCATCGTAGGCTTTTATCCTCAGGATGGTGGCACCAACTGGCAGATCCTCTGAAACCTTTACATCAGTAGGGAAGGATTTGTCAAAATGCGGTGCCTGTCTGTTCACCGAATAAAAATCAAGAAAGCCATCTTCCAAATTCAGCTTCACATTTGCTTTTGCCTTTTTGAGTAATTTTTCTGCTAGCTTCTGAGCAACTCTGGTTTCTCTACAGCTAAAGGTCTTTGAAGACACTTTCCCATGAACTACCGAAATATTAACAAACATAGCATCAGCAAAGTTCTCTCCATCAGTTGCCGTTATCTTAAGGCCAAAATTGCTGTTCTTTATGCCAGAATTAATCAGAGATTTTTTAAGTTGCAGAACACCAGAGTCAGGATTTAAATAAAAAATGCCAAGTTCATTTCCAGAGATTATTTTGTACTTCACAAGCTCTAACTCATCTATGTCTATTGCAGAAACAGCAGTGATGTGACCACCAACAGGAAAATCAGAAGAAATCACTCCCTGACATGCCACTTTTTCAAAAAGGGGCTTGTTATCATTGACATTGCCTATGTATATGGTGACATTCACCTCGCTTTCATGGCGGTAGGGAGAACCCCAGTCGGAAGCTCTCACAATGAACCTGTAGCTTTCTGGTGAGGACTCAAAATCCAGTTCTTCAGATGTGCTGATGACACCTGTAAACTGGTTTATTGTAAATGGCAGTGAGTTCAGACTGGCAATGCTGTATGTTATGTATCCATTTTCTCCCCTATCTTTATCAACTGCTGAAACTGCCAAAACACTAGAACCCACAGGGACGCTTTCGTTGACAAACGAACTGTAGGAGGGCTGCTGGAACTCTGGCGTGTGATCATTGGCATCTTCTAACCTGACAGTAACACGTGCCTTTAAATCACCACCTTTGTTCGTATATACTTCTAATTCATAGAGGTCCTTCTCAATGATTTTCAAAGGACGAGCAGTAGTAATAAGGCCTGTGTTGGGATTGATCTTAAAATACTCAGCTTCCTCACTTGGAGATATTCTATATTCCACACCTTGTGGCTCAGGTATCAGCTTAACTACTGCAACAACCACACCAGGAGGTGAAAATTCACTGATCAAAATATCATATGCTTCCTTTTCAAACTTCATGGGGATAATTTCTTTTTTGGGACTAGCAATATGGACAAGTTTGACTGCAGAAAATTTCTGAGGAGATCCTTTATCCTTTGCTTGTAGAGTCAGGTTATAACCATATGGAAAGCTGTCCCAATCAATAGGCTTTCTTTCTTTGACTTTGTACTCATTCATCCATTTACCTTCTTTACTCAGAAAGAACTGTTCTAGCGGATCTCCAGCCACAATAGAAACGGATTCTATTTCTCCATTGGCTCCTTCATCTAGGTCATCAATGTTAACAACTGCATAGGTAGGCTCCTTGTCTGATGGGAAGGGAATATGGGTTACCACATTTATTGTTGGGGCATGTTCATTTATACGTTCAATGTGAACATAAAGCTTGGCAGTGCTGCTTACGCCATTGTTTCCATAAAGCTTCATCCCACGGTCCACAGCCAAAATCTCAAGATCGTATCTGTTTTTTTCATCATAGTTTAACCGGCCACTTAAGGAGATAACACCACTTGTAGGATGAACTGAGAAGAGATCAACTTTGCTTTTGAAGTAATAATAAAATTCACCATTGGACCCAATATCCGCATCTGTTGCGGTCACCTGTGCAATGCTAGTCCTTAAAGGAGTGCTTTCCGCTATTGTGACAGAGTATGTGGTTGGTGAAAACAAAGGTCTTAAGTCATTCATATCCAAAACCTGGATGTTCACTTTTGTCCATGCTTCCAAGTCCTCTCCTCTGACAGACCCTTTCACCATCAATAAATAGTTGTCCTGGATTTCTCTGTTCAATATAGCAGAATTCCCACCTTTAGTCCTTATTCTTAGGAAGCAAAAGTCAGCAATGATGACTTCCTCTGCTTTAAAAAAGCCCTCATCATCACCAGACACTATCCTGTACTTGATATCCCATGAAAGGTCAGCCAATGTAATGCCCATCCTCGTTTGACTGTTGACATAGGTCCTGGCTGCAGAATTCTCGTACACCGTAGCATTGTAAGTGGAATGTGTAAAGTGAAAGCCAAGCGAGGCAGTCCCATGAACTACTTGGCAAACAGAAGCCAGGAGCTTGACAATCAGAAGGGCAAAGCATGACGGAGGTGGCCGTGAGCCTGACCAGCGGCCCATATTCACCTCCATCACATCATTCCTTCACTCTGTGACAGAGAGAGAAAACAGGAAATAGTCGGTCAAGAGATAAAAACTGTACTGCGAAGTGTCATGTCAAAATTACTTATGAAATTTCTAACTAAAAATAAAATTTATGTAATAACTAGTCATTATATATTTAACAAAACAGAAAGGGAGAGTCACTATATATTTAACAAAACAGAAAGGGAGAACACTATACACACATGCACGTACCAGTTTTGGATTATATTTTTACTTGTGTCTCTGAAATAAGTATACATGTACATATACGTAACTATATATAGGTATCTATCTACACTTTTTTAACATAAAAACCCCCTGAGACCCTACCACATCTATACACACATGCACACAGTACAGAGTAATAATCACAGTGAAAAAAATTAAAATCAGACACACACATTGGAATAAGTTTATATAAGAGGATGAACCACATACAGAAATTACTGGTTTTATTTACCAGTAGCTCCAACTAAGCCCAAACTTGTTTTTCGAGCCTATTGGAAAAATCATTTTTAGTCCCAATGTTTGGGAAGGATATAGGATTTTCATTATGTATGTAGCACTGTGATAGTCAAATGTTACCAGTTTTTTTACAGACAGTTAAGAAAAATCATATGGTTGATGAAATTTGAGACACCAAGAACAAGCAGTACATAAAAATCACTACCCAGCCATTACTATAATTACAGATACCTTCAGAAAAATCAAAATTAAGGAAGAATCCTAGCTAATTAAATGCAATTACATACACATATACACCTACATATGCATACACATACCCAGATACTGCGAACAGGCAAAATACAATGAAGAAAATAAAACTACTCTATAAAGCTCCCAGGTGAAGTCCGGGTAGGAAACAGCACAGATGAGATAGCCTGTAGGACTTAACTCTACCCTTGCATATGTACCACAATGCATATGTAACCACGGTCACCACTTTCCACCAAATACACTGGGTAACATACCCTAAATGAGGCCACAGATGAACATTTTTTAATGTGTATCCAATAAATGCTCCATTCTCTGGGTACTACTTCCATCCCAACCTAAGAAAGGTGAAGGCCCCCTTCAATCAGCTGCCTGTCCTGCTGCCAACAGACCACCCCAACCAGCAAGAGCAGAAACGCAGCCTCGCTCAGATGGAGTGAATTTCAGCTTACATCACATATCACTTTGGCAATCCCAAGCAGAATTTGGCTATAAATAAGGCACAACATCAGTTTGTCTCAATCCAGTCTATCCCACTCCAGTCACCTCAAAGTGCTGAGAGTCTTTCTATTGATTTTAAAAGGCTCATTATAAATCTAAGTGTTCAAATGCAATTAATAAGCAGCCATTTGGGGAAAGATTTGGACTTTCTCCTTACAGTCCTTTTCTGGAATAGCCCCAGTGCCTTGATTCAGGGATCTAAATTGGGAGGTTAAATGGAAACAGGGTAAGTGGAGACACTGGCTGAAGGTTGCTGGAGGGTGCTGCAGAAACTGAGAGCCAGATCTTGTTTAATGCTTCCCACTGAAAGGCGAGGAAAGGAGCCTGAGGAAACCAGGCAGGTGCTTACAGTAAGGCAGTGTGAATAAGCTTCTTTGTTACAGAGTACATTTGCTGCTACTTGTGAAAATCATAAAAATCAATTTTAAAAGGCAATTATTGAAAGACCCACTGCACACATACATTGCTCTCATTGTCATTTAAAAGCTGCTTGAAAACGTAGTTTTCTCCAAGCTAGAATAGAATGGAAAAGGATAGGAAAAATTGTTGATAATGACAGGGGTTAATTTAAATTTCCAACATGATTTCAGCATCCCCTAGGAGGTTTATAAATTGCATGCAAGTTTTGGAATATGAATTCATGTTAGTTATCACTTCCAATATAACTGAATGACTATTGCAGTTTTAAGTACTAACGACAATCAATTTATCGCACTGATGTTATAATGTTCACACAAAACACTTAACTTCCTGATCCCAGAGTCTATATCCCATTGCTTAACACATTAATCAATTTGATCAATTCTCCCAAGTGTTTGTCAAGGCACTTATCTTTCAATACACTTATTTTCACATGCAGTTCTCCCTCAGCTTTGTTTCCTTCCTATTTTCTTTCCTATTATACCAACCAAAAAAAAGAAACTCATTAAAAGAAAATAACAATGTAACATTGTATCACCTCCTGGACCCACGTTCCGCAGTAACAGGCAAATCCCCACAGAACTGCATGTGGCAGTTCTTTTTCTAAATATGCACACTTAATTGTTGTGCACATATCATGAGAGTCCTCTGATTAACATCTCATCCCATACAGCTTATACATCAAATATGCAGAATTCTCCAATAGGGTTGTGTGCATGAGGGACCAGGTCTCCCATGCTCTCCCCATGCTCAGGTTGATCCCCAGAAGACCCAGGGTGGAATTTTTCTACTTCAGCTAGGAAAGATTTTTTTATTGTTGTTGGCATTTCACTCAGCTAAAAGATCAGAGCAGTGGTACCTTATTTTTCAGCACAGCAAACATTCATCAACTTAATCCACCAGTGTGAAAATATCAAAGTCCCTTATTTTCATGGGGCTTTATGTGATCACTTTAGTACTGCCACTAAAAGCTTCTGCTTCAGCCTAGCATGGGAGATGATGCTCTCATGTAGAAAATACAACCAATATACAGTATGCTGACGAGGAAAAGACAACCAAGGGGAATGATGAATTCTAATAAGAGAGACCCAACTCATAACAAAATAAAGGGCTGTGCCTCCCCTGTGATGTGACATTATTAAAATACTCAACAGACAAATCACTGTATTGCTGCCTTTCACCAAGAGCACTTCAGCATCTTCCATTTATACTGCAATACCAGCCTCTCCCCACTGCTAAGAGAAAGTGAAATTTTGCTGGATTATGATGTAGACTGATGTTACATTTCATATGAGCACCCACACTTATTTCACTGCAGCTCAGCAGCTTTGCAGAAATAGATGTCTCTGGAGTAATAAAACAAAGCGTATTTTCGTATTTACATCTCATTCGGTGATCTAGTTTCTCCTGTCCACACCATAGTTTGGCCTGAGCTGTTTTCTCTCTTTCATTCATGGTCATCAACATCAGGTTTCCAGGTCCACTGTAATCAGAATTCATTTTTCCTGAGAAATTCATTGCTACAAGGAAAAATTAATTAAAACTTTACCTTCAGGTTAGCCATACACAAGGTTACAGACTCTGCCATGGCATACAGGCATCAAAGCAGGTATTTACAAAGCTATGTGATTAGGTGAACCTAATGAAAAAGCTCCATCTATTTGTTTTAGAGAAAGCCAGGGCTAAAACCTAATCTCAGATACACTGCTGTAAATCCAGTCATGTCAATAGTCTACAAAGTTTTAGTAGTTCAGTGCAATCAAGATCAGTCCCAACACTAAATTCCACCTAGGAACAACATGTGTATGGGCGTGTGTGTGTAAGTTTACAAATGCATGTTTTAGTTATCTATACATATGTATATACACACACACAGAGTTTGTGTATTTTTAGGTATAATTTCAGGGTTGGCACTGGAAAAATTGGACCTTCACATCAGGCAGCACTTTCAGAGTTTGATTTCATTTCAGATGTGGTATGCAGAGTTGTAACAAGCTCCTCATTGAACTTATTCATCTATCCATATATTTATATGGCCATCATCATTATATTATTTGAAAGTCCCAATGGATGAGCATTAAACTGCCACTTGGGCTACCCAAGAATGTTTTATTCATTTACTGAATTCCTTTCTTCTGGGATATTTGTTTTTAAGAGCTCATAATACATACATACTCAACACACAGGAAATGTAATGCGATAGGTTACAGAAACAAAGTACAAAGCAACCCACCGTAAATTAAGAGGCATTTCTTTAAAGGCACTTCTTGTCAAAAAAATGTTATGGTTTCAAGTGAAGAGAAAGCTTGTGATTATTTTTGCTTGATTTAGAAACATTTAGGCAGAAGCCATTAAAAAAAAAGAAAAAAAATCCCCTGGTACTGCTCAGCATGGTTAGTCTGAAGAAAAGAAACAGCTCTAACCAAGAGCAGAACCTGAAAGAAAAAAAATCTTCTAACTGCCCAAAGATGTGACAAAGTAACACAAAATAGGAGTCCAGCATCTTTCCACTCTAGCTCACATTAAATACTCTGGCCTTGAAGCAGGAAGAAACAAACGGAGAAATAGAATGGTGTCTCTTGATTTTTAATACTCTTTAAAATAAACTTGAATATCATGGAGAACTCTATAATTTCACATTCAGTTCTCCAGTCAGTCACTTTCCTTTGCTCCTTGAATAAAGATTAACTACGTGACCCAAACCTGTCAGCATGGCTGCAGGGACCTGTAGGTGGCTGGTGCTCCTTAGAGCAATTGAGAGAGGTATGAGCATCATTTCTTTTTCTCATCTTGGCTCTGGCAACCTCCACTCTGGTCTGCATCCAAACATAACACCCCACCAGACTGAGAAGGAAGTCTCAAGGCCCAGGAACTGCCAGGATTTCTGTACCCCAAAATCGCGGCTCTAATTCAATGTGAAGATATGGAACAAGTACTGTGCGAGTCTTTGATTCCTTCTCCCCAGGCTAATTCTTCTAATCCCAAAGATCTCCATACCAGAAAACACTTGAAAAAGAAAACTTACCCTCCAAGCCCAATTACATCCTATGAGATAAGGATTTTTTTCAGCTGACCATCACATAAATTAACTTAGGCAATGTGACTAGCTAATACAATACAGCTATTTAAGATTTTATGCAGGTCCTTTGCTAGAAGAGAGAGAAGAAACCAATCTGCGCCTTAACTTCCATCTTCACTGCAAGGACCCAGTGAAGCTCTTACCTATAGGGTCCTCTGAGGTGGAAGGAGACAAAACAGTTTCTCAACTTCCAATGACAATTTTCTGAGAGTCAAGGTATTTATGCAGCTGTGTGCATGGGAAAAAAGGGTCAAGAAACCTTGACTTAAAGGATTTTACCTTGACTGGTAT